CTAGCTATACTGAAACTCACTCTGTAGCTCAGGCTGGCCTCGAATTCACAGAGATCCCCCTAGTTCTGCTCCCCAAATGCTGAGATTAAAGGTGTGTACTACCACAACCTGATTCAAGCAAGTAAATCTTTAAAAAAAAAAGTTCTCTTAGAGTTTGATGGCATTATTTTAATTTAAAATAATTCTGTAAATTATGATTAAGAACATACTTTTTAGGGCTGGAGAGATGGCTCAGCAGTTAAGAACACTGGCTGCTCTTCCAGAGCTTCTAAGTTCAATTCCCAGCAACCACATGGTGGCTCACAACCATCTGGCATAAAGGCGTACATGAAGATAGAGCACTCATATACATAAAAAATAAATACACCTTTTTAAAAACCCACAAAGCTGGGCAGTGGTGAATCATGCCTTTAATCCTAGCACTCGGGAGGCAGAGGCAGGAAGATCTCTGTGAGTTCGAGGCAAGCCTAGTCTACAAGAGCTAGTTCCAGGATAGGCTCCAAAGCTACAGAAAAACTCTGTTTCAAAACAAACAAACAAATGAATAAATAACAAATAAAACACAAGCTTTTTATTCTAGGTGGAAAGGAAACATTTAGTTTTACAAATCTGTGTCCTTTCAGAAACACAGACAGACATAATACCCATTATTTCCCAACCCTTAGTCCAGAGGCCACTGAGCAATACTTAAGAAAAAGTATGAGGATAAGAACAGGGCTCCGATTAGTATGGTCTTCTATACTGAACTAGGGTTCAGATCTCTATATGAGCGAGCACAGCAATGCTCAAGTGCACTGGAGAGACAGATATCAGATCTCCTCCACATGGACTGGGGGAAATAGGAAATAACACAGGCCTGCTGATAATAAAGGTTTTATTTTTTTTCCATGATACAGGGTCAAGGAAATGATACCTCCAAGGCCACCTCTCACCCGCCGGACAGGGGGAGCTCAGAAGGTAGGTGTTAATGCTGGGGGGCAAAGCTGTGGGCATTTGAAGGTGGTGTTGGCAGTGGCTTCCAGAGGAGACGAGCCTCTGTGGGCTTCCCAGGCTTTCATCCAGTTCCATCTGTGATCAGTGAATCACGTACAGTGTGATTCTGGCCCAGCGGAAAGGACAGTTTTTACAGCTAATGTGGTGTAGGACTTCTCGTCTGTGATCTGGGCATCTCTGAGGCCTGCTCACTGCATTCGTTGTCTTCCAGGCAGTGAGTGACTACCACACACAGATCAAGAGCATTTCCAGGGCCATCCTGGATGAATACCACCGAATGTTTGGAAAGCAAGTGATCAAAGTGGGAAGTGATGTAGACAGCGAAACCTTGGAGGAGCAGAAGTGCCAGCTCAATTATGAGCTCAACTGCTCTGGAAAGTACTTTGCTTTCAAAGAACAGCTCAAGGTGAAACACACATTTCTTTAGTTATGTGACCAGCCTGGGAGCCCCTTCTGCAGTACCTGTTCAGTAGTTTCTGCTCTGGCTCTGCTCAGATGAGTCCTCTGGGGGAAAATGTCAGTATTTATACCAAATGAGAGCTCGTAAGCCCTCATCTTCACTAGAGGCTGGCCTTGAGACCAGACCCCACCCTCTGCCCGCTAGAAGAAATTATGTTCTTGACACTAATTAATTGTACATATCTTTCATTTACGTCTCCTTGACGGCAGAATTAAGAATTTAGAGCTGCTGCTGCACACCTGTAATCCTAGTTCTCAGGAGGTGAATCAAAACAAACAAAAAACTAAAAGTTTTTTTTTAAAAAAAAAAACTAAAAGTCCTTCAAAATAGCTTATTAAGTAATAATGGCTATTATTCATTCTAGAGCATTTTTTAGTTTGGGAGATGGGTTATTTTTGATCAACAAGAGATAATAAATATCACATGGGGTTATTATTAGTATTAATATGATGAAGGTGTTCAATATATAACCTGACTTAAGGGGAAAAAACAGTAACTGCCAGACTGTACCATAATGCTGTGCTTGTATATTATTATCCCCACCATCTGAGATCTGAGATCTCAGTAGGTGCTCAGAACTTTGGATAAGGAGCTGAAGCAATGGCTCAGCAATTAAGAACACTGACTTCTCTTCTAGAGGACTCACATTTGGTTCCCAGCACCCACATGGACGCTCACAGCCGTCTGTAACTCTAGTCTCAGGGAATCTGATGCCATCTTCTGACCTCTGTGGGCGTCATCAGAATGTTATCAGAAGGGAATGTGTGTGTCTTGCAGCATGCGGTGGTAAAGATTGTGAGAGAGAAATACCTGAAGACAACAGCATTTGAAAGCCAGGAGGAACTGCAGACATTTATCAGTGAGCTTTATGTGTTCTTGGTAGATCAAATGCATGTGGCCTTAAACCAGGTAGGTGTTTACAGCTCGGATGCCGCTCCCCTTGGAGAAGAGCAGGGCTTCTTTTGAAACACTGCTCTCTTCTTGGTTTATTTCCTTCCGTTAGTGTGCAGATGCTGATGAGTTCGTCTGTTCTGCACAAGGTCCTGGCCATGCCTGCTCTTCAGTTCCCCGGAAAAACTGGTTCTCTAGATTTCAAAACTGTTACATGGGGCTGGAGAGATGGCTCAGCAGTTAGGAATATCAGTGTTCTTCCAGAGGACACAAATTAATTCCTGGCACCCATATGGTGGGTCACAACTCTAAGTCTAATGCCCAGGCTTCTGAACCCTCAGCTAGCCTCGGACACAGACACGCAGGCACCAAAATAAGCATGTACCTGAATAAAATAAAAAGTTTTTTTTAATGTGGAAGAATTTTTAAATAAAAGCTATGGAAATTATGAAACAAAAAATTATTTTATTAATGTGCACAAGTCTCAATTTTCTTCAGGATGATAAAAATAAGGGAAAACTGAGTCTGGGTATCTTTAAAAGCTGTGTTACTGTGAAGATGACGGTAGCAATTAAAATGCACATTTAAATTTTTAATACATTTTATTCATTTTGTATGTGTTGCCATGTTGTGCACATGTGGAGATTCCTCCTGCCGTTGTGTGGGTCTCAGGGACCGAACTCGGGTCATTAGAATTAGCAGCAGCCTCCTTTACCCACTGAGCCTCTTGAAGCTCACGACATCCATTTTAGTGGCTGATGATCCTTTCTTCCTACTTGTCTGCTGGTGCTGGATTTGGACAGTTGGCTTCTTGCCGGCTTTTATGCCTTCCTGCATGTAGTTAGTTGTTACTTGATGTGAACAGTGACAGAATCAAATCTTATCATGGCCAGGGAGTCTCTGGCCAACCATCCCACTTTACAGTCTCTGTCTGCTTTTCTCTTTCTTCACTGGTTTTATTTCCTGCCACCCAGCCTTTCCCTTCACATGCTTCAGTCTTCCTGGGATAGGTAGGCAGGAGAGTACAGTCGTATAGGACTGAAAGGACAGTCCTGCACAGACACAGATACAGACACAGACACAGGTGATAGACAGGACTGAAAGGACAGTCCTGCACAGACACAGATACAGACACAGACACAGACACAGACACAGGTGCTATAGGACTGAAAGGACAGTCCTGCACAGACACAGACAATGTTTCACGTAATCTAGGTTAACCCTGAACTTGCTATGTAGCCAAGGATGGCCTTGAACTGATCTTTCTGCCCCCTCTCAAGTGCCCACTGTGCTTAGCCTAGCCTTTCTATTACTTCTCTGAAATAGCTCCTTACTGAAGTGATGATGGGACTTGGCCTAATAGCTGTGAGCATGAAATGCCAGTTACGCAGTAGGTGAGACAGGAGGATTGAAAGTTAAAGATTTGCAGGTCTACAGAGTGCATTCAAGACAAGTATACTCCTCTGTTCCTACGTGATTGCACATGCATGTGCACACACACACTACAGTCTCATTTAATGTGATGGTTGGATCTCACATCCAGTTCATTCTCATAATTGTTCACGTATAATTGTTTCATTCTCTTTGTTTACCATCTCAATGACAAGTCCATGCCAGACGACATGCAAGGCACTGCCTCAACGATTCATACCAGCAGTGAACAGCTTCGACTCTTCGCATTTGAGGCAGAAGTCAATGAGAATTTTGAAATGGCAGCAGTATATTATGAAGAGGTAGCTAAATATCTCAGTGATGATTATTGTTATTATTTGTGAATCTATGTAAAACGGTAGTTTGCTATTAACATCAAACTTGTCCAGTGAAAGGATAGACACAGATCAGTAAACAGAGAGGGAGACCAAAAATATGACCATATGAATAAGATCATTTGGTATTTTGGTTTGGTTTGGTCTCATTTATTCAAGGCTGACCTTAATTGAACTCACTATATATAGCCAAGGACAACTTGAACTTCTCTTCTTCCTGCCTCTACCTCCCCAGTATTAGGATCACAGCAGTACCTACAGCACTCACGGTTCATGTGGTACTGAGATCCAACACAAGCCATGAGCATCCTAGGCAAGTACTGTACCAGATGAGCTGTATCCACAGTCCAGGCTTCGGCGCTTTGAGACAAGGTCTCTCTGTATATCTCAGGCTGACCTATGAGATCTTCCTGTTTCAACCTCCTATGTCTCTGTCTGTCATCCTGAGATTACAGACAGGCTATCATACTTATCTGGCTTCTAGTTGAGTGCTAGGATCTGAAATCCAGTCCTCATATTGCGTGATGAGCACCATCTCCCCAGCAGCCAGGTCATTTGATTTTTGATGAAACTGTACAATAAATTCAATGTAGAAATGAGTTGTTTCAACAAATGAGAACAGTTGGCAATCCACATGCAAAACGAATGAACCTTGATCTGACTTTAAACATTTTACAAAAATCAATGATAGCTGGGCGGTGGTGGCGCACACCTTTAATCCCAGCACTCGGGAGGCAGAGGCAGGCGGATCTCTGTGAGTTCGAGACCAGCCTGGTCTACAAGAGCTAGTTCCAGGACAGGCTTCAAAGCCACAGAGAAACCCTGTCTCGAAAAAACAAAAAACAACAAAAAAAAAATCAATGATAAATGGATAAATAATCTAAATGTAAAACATGGATCGTTCAAAAGAAACATAGAAGTAAATCTCCTTGACCAGGTCTTATAGGGTCCTTGGCAGAAGACCCAAGGACAGAAAGTCAGCACCAGAAGGCAGAGCAGGAGGACTGCTATCCATTGGAAATCAGCTCGGGCTATATCACAAGTTCCAAGCTAGCCAGGGCTACAAAAGTACAGATTAGGAGAAATAGAACATATATTTTCCAAACAACTTTTATCCATAATTTAAGACTCCAAATGCAAGCCGAGCGATGGTGGCACATGCCTTTATTACTCCTAACACTCGTGAGGCAGAGGCAGGAGGATCTCTGTGAGTTCAAGGCCAGCCTGGTCTACAAGAGAGCTAGTTCCAGCACAGGCTCCAAAGCCACAGAGAAACCCTATCTCGAAAAACAAAAACAAAAAAAAAGACTCCAAATGCAGCCAGGCATTGTGGCGCTTCTTTAATCCCAGGACTTGGGAGGCAGAGGCAGGTGGATCTCTGTGAGTTCAAGGTCTGCTTCATCTACATAGTGAGTTCCAGAACAGTAAGAGCTATATAGTAAGACCCTGTCTCTAAAAAACAAACAAAGACTCAAAATGCACCATTTTTATAAAAGTAGTTAGTGTCTGTTTTAATTATTTTGGGTATACTTAAGAGTGGAATTGCTGACTACACAGTGATTCTGTGTTTAACTTTTGAAGGTTTCCATTGGATTTGACAGGGCTGGCCTTCATCTGTAGGTTGCTCTTAGCAGCATTGGCATCTTAACCTCAACTCTCCCCGTGCTGACCTGAACTCAGGGCGTCCTTCCATTTATTCAAGTTTTCTTTCATTTCTTTGAACCATGTTTATAGTTTTCGTTTACACGAGGTATCCTTTTTCTTGCATTCATAGATAATTGTATATATTTTTCATCTCAAGATCATGGCAGTATTATTAGCTAGTCACGTAAGTCCTTAGTTCCTGAGGCACTGATTGAGTTCAGGAATAAATCTCTCGAGGATTCCATCTTTAGGTCATGTCAAAGCTAGAACAGCACTTCTAGCTGGTCCTCTGGGTCCTGTGTAAGCAAAAGAAAAGTGATGGTTTTGACTTTCATAATGCATGGTATTTATGGGGCATTTACTTTTTAGTATACACAAAAAGTGGGGCATAGCGTCGCAATAACCCTGTTTCTCCTGATACTTTGTGTGCCTAGAGGTTGGTCCGTGAGCCCCAGAACCTGGATCACTGGCTGGATTATGGTGCCTTTTGCCTTCTCACTGAAGACATCACGAAAGCACAGGAGTGTTTCCGGAAAGCCCTTTCCCTGAACGAGAGTCATATTCACAGGTAGAAGGGAAATGGAGAACAATGAGTAGGAGCAGATAAACTACAACATGACCTAGGACCAGACTGCTAACTGTGCTAGCGGGTCTCTTCCCAGCTTGTTGCTGTGTGGTGTCCTGGCTGTCTTGTTGGAGAACTATGAGCAAGCAGAAATCTTCTTTGAGGATGCTACGTGCTTGGAGCCCAGCAGTGTTATCGCCTGGACTTTACTCGGTAGGCGCATATGGGCTTTCCTCCATCACCAGATTCTTTCTCCTTTTTAGTGATGAAGATGTAGGATGTTTTTTAGGGGAGGGGAATAAGGAGATTGGGACAAGGTTTCTTTGTGTAGCCCTGGATATACCAGGCTGGCCACAGACTCTGAGCGTTCCATCTGCCTTCCAATTGCTGGGATTAAAGGCGCGCACAGCCAGATGTGGTTTTAAACTCTAGGAAAACAGCAAAGAGAAATGAAAGGTGCCCACTCTCACCCACACTGGTGGGAGCTGAGCCCTCTATCTCAGCTTCTTTATTTCCTCAGGGTTGTTCTATGAAATTCAGAATAATGACATTCGAATGGAAATGGCATTTCACGAGGCCTTCAAACAGCTTCAGGCACGAACCCTCCAAACAAAGCTGAAGAGCACCGGCACTGACGGCACTGACGAGGGAGTGAAGACGGAGCACAGTTTTGGCCCTTGGGGAGCCATACACGATTCTGCCACAGCCATGAAGTCAGAAGGCCTGACAGGTGGGAGTGGGATGTGGAGACGGGAAGTGTCCGTGGGAAACTTACTGCCTAGGAGTAGGACCTGCCACAAAGTAGGCGAAGGCAGTGTTTGTTCAAAAATACTGAAAGTGTCCGTCATTTCAGCAGTATTGGGAGACACCATGCTTATTAATAACTCATCGTCAGGGAACTGGCCAGAAGCATCTGCTGATGCTGATTTTCATACCATAGAGAATTTACTCCCTTCATCAATAACCCTTAAAAATAGGTATTGAAGCCAGATGGTGGTGGTGCGCGCCTTTAATCCCAGCACTGGGGAGGCAGAGGCAGGCGGATCTCTGTGAGTTCGAGGCCAGCCTGGTCTACAGAGCTAGTTCCAGGACAGGCTCCAAAGCCACAGAGAAACCCTGTCTCGAAAAACCAAAAACAAACAAACAAACAAAAACCAAAATGAAAAAAAAGGGGGGGCTGGAGAGATGACTCAGAGGTTAAGAGCACTGGCTGCTCTTCCAAAGGTTCTGAGTTCAATTCCCAGCACCCACATGATGGCTTATAACTATCTATAATAAGATCTGGTGCCCTCTTCTGACATGTAGGAATATATACAGGCAGAACATAATAAAAATAAATAAATAAATGTTTAAAAAAATACTGGATAGTGATATTAAAAAAAAAAACACCAGGCGGTGGTGGCGCACGCCTTTAATCCCAGCACTGGGGAGGCAGAGGCAGGCGGATCTCTGTGAGTTCGAGGCCAGCCTGGTCTACAAGAGCTAGTTCCAGGACAGGCTCCAAAACCACAGAGAAACCCTGTCTTGAAAAACATAAAAAAAAAGAAAAAGGGAAAGAAAAAAAGGGTAGTGTTCTGAATACATTAAAATGTTTTTCTTTTTGTCTTTTTCTCCCTACCATGTAATTCTTAAATCTATCTATT